TGGCTAGCCCCATAGAGACCTGCTGTCTTCAGCCCCAGATTCTTCATCTTCTTGGACTCTCCTTTTCCTCTTTTTTAGTAATGTATTTATGGTTTTAATGTTTTGTGTGAGTCACCCAGAGTCCCCCACTGGGGGGAGATGGGCGGGGGAGAAATTTAATAAATAAATACTATAAGCCTTTCTGGATTGTGGCGTAGTAAAACTTTCCCTTGATTCAGATAGGCTCAGTCAAAGCAAGGTATTTCTCAATTATCAGAAAGTAAATTTTACTTCCCTGAGTTTAGCTTTGATGTTCATTTGTGATCACTGGAAGCTTCTGTAATCTTAGTAAAATCCTAGCATGGATTTTAGTAAACTGCTTATCTCAGAGCTTTTTGTGCCAAGGATTATGATTCCTTATCCCTTTGATAAGAGCTGTGGGACACGTAATTATCAGGATGTTTGGCAGCCATTATAATCACATACCCCAAGGATTTTCTACTGTTATTATTTCTAGTGTTGTAATGGAAGTCTATACTATACACTGTAGTTTGGTGTAGTGGTTAAGGCACTGGGAGACTGTGAGTTCTAGTCCTGCAAATCTTTTTCTGTTGTGTGTCCATCATGCATCCTAATTCTTGGGTCATTAGTAATTGCAAACACTTCCGAAACAATAACAGTATAGCAAAGAGTTTCTATATGCATTTCAAGAACAAATACATGTAATGAATAATAACCTTTTCATCTTCCTAGAGCTGAGGATTTAGTTCATGTTGTTCCTTACTTATCTAGTTTTATACTCATAAGAGGTTATTATGGTTGGGAATAAATACTAAGAGGATTTCTTCAGAATTACCTATTTTTAAATGCAATCCACCAAGAACTGTAGCCGTGCAACTCCACTGATATCAGGTTTTCAAGGAAGTGGATCTCAAGGGGGATGGGCCTTTGATATTTTTACAATGTAGAGGGCACTTAAGAACAGAGAGTTAAAACCAATAGTGGTGCAATAATAAGCACAGCTTACATTGCAATTACTTCAGTTTGTTTCCCAGCAAAAATTAGATTTATCTTTTCATGTATGAAATTTTTATCTGCCTTTCAGGCTCAGGAACAGAATTGACTTTTTTTCTTGTTTTGTGGTGGTGGTAGTGATGATATCGTTATGGCTACTATTATAAAACCAATCTATATTTTTCACCTTTGGAGTTTCTCTGTTGGCATAGGAAATTCTTATATAAATTAGGGTTGTTGTGATAGAAACATCCATGCCTCACCAAAATAAGACTGATGTGTAATGGTTAAAATTTGTTGGCAATAAAATGATCACATCAGAACTGCTCAAACAATAGTCCTTTATTCTCTGGTATACATAAATGAATTTTGTTTTATTCCTTTGCTTCTTGATTTGTTTTACTTCATTGCCAGTCATGTCTGCTGTTTCTATGTAAAAGATCCTTTCTTTACCCAAGTTAAGGATTCACAATATTTGTGCATGTACAACACATGCAATGATCCACTGATTGCTTGATAACAGGCGAGGAAGTTGGGCTGCATGGTGTTTCTTCCAAGGGGAAAAACTAACAAGAAGAAAGGATTGGATACAATCCAGAAAAAAATAAGATCAATTTATTTCAAAAGAGAATTAAGTACTTGGTTAGAGCAATCCCACATAAATCAATGGGATATAAAAGTGCTTACATCTGGCTATGTTCCGCTGGCAAATTGCAGCCTTCTTCTGTCCTTGAGAACATTACATTTCAGCTATTACTTAGATACTGCTTATACATCATTATGAATACATACACCATTTTCAAATAAAAAAATATTTTTTCTTGGTTTTTTTTACAGAGTTTCCCCTTCCTTTAGTTTAACTTTTAGATGGAAGTTCCATTAATTTAATAGACTCAACTTCTGAATATACATGTACAGGATTGTACTATAAGGTACAATTATATAGTGTATTAATAGCTACAAATGTCAAAAGTTTGCTGCCCTTATTTCATGTAGTTAAAAAAATTCCTTTTGGCAATGTGGAACAGTTCCTTGGGGTTTTCAGATTTAAGCATGTAGGATTAAGCAAAATATTCTCAGAGAAAATGTCCTTGGTTTCACATAATGAAATAAGATTGAACTGTCTTTCCCAATATTCCCATACTAATGTTGTCATTTAGAAAGCTTTTTGACTGATAAGTTTTTTCAAGTTGTTTTCGAACATTGTTTTCAGGTTCATATCCCAGTTAAATGAAGAAACTTGGAAGTTTATCTGTTTTCGTTTCCTCCAATATAACTTTGTCAGACAACTGTAATAGGCTGCACATGACATTGCCTTAGACTGTTGGTTCAAATCAGAGATCCCTATGGATGGCACACGTTTGCTCTCAAACTCTGTGTCCCATTATGTATAGTTTTAATGGAAGGAATGGAAGATCATAATTATGGCACAGCAAAGTATTCTAACTAGCCTTCACTTTGAAAGTTGTCTGTCATTAGGAAAAGTCATGACCTTTCGCACTGCAGGTGGGATGTGAGCAGTCCAGTGAATTAAATTAGAATATCATTAAATCAAGAAACGGGAAATGAGCGATTGCTTTAATTAGTTGATTAGGGAAGGGGAGGCATTACTTTTAAGGACTGGCATTCACCCAACTTAATTGTGTATTTCAATAACAAGTTTCAAAGTATTCTTATCAAGATCTGGACAGGGGAGGTCAAAACAAGTTTATCAATATGTTTTTTAGAAAACACTAGTGTGTTTTAAATTCATAATTTAAATGTACATGTATGTTTTCCCAACTTAATTGTGTATTTCAATAACAAGTTTCAAAGTATTCTTATCAAGATCTGGACAGGGGAGGTCAAAACAAGTTTATCAATATGTTTTTTAGAAAACACTAGTGTGTTTTAAATTCATAATTTAAATGTACATGTATGTTTTTACTTTGAAAATATAGTACGTTTACTCCTAAAATGCAAGGCGGACGGATGGGGACTTCAGGGAGAATCATCACAAAGAGCACAAGTGTGAGTGGAGAGGTGTATAAACTGGAACAGAATGATGGGAGTCAATCAGATACTGCGGTTGGGACAGTTGGAACAGGTGGGAAGAAGAGAAGATCAAGCCTTAGTGCCAAAGTGGTTGCCATGGTATCTCGCAGAAGCAGAAGCACATCCCAGCTTAGCCAAACAGGTGAGTGAAATAAATGTAGCAAGATCATAGATCTTTTTGCATCTGTGATCAAAACATGGTTTAGGTGTCTCCCAAGCGGTTTCCAAGAAGCAGCTATTTTCTTTTGGGGCTATGGTACAGTCATTATTTTCAACCATGAAATATTGTGAAATAAGCACTCTGGAATTTTGTTTTGCCCCCGTAATCTGTAAGTTGACCTGAAAGAGACTACTTAGAGTACCCTCAAGGCTTTAAGTGATAACACTGTAATAATTTACTTTTTTTTTAATGAATGTATTGATTTGAAAATAACAAATGATAGCTACTTTATATATATTTTTGAAGTCCCTGAAGAAGCTCAGTCAAGCAAACTAATAAGAATATAGCATGATGCTATGTTACATGCTTTTAAAGTTTCTTTTCTCTTGAGGTACTTTAGAAATCATAAAAGCCTCGTCTCTATAGCCTAAAGAAAGAACAGAGATACTATAGAGAGATGGAAGAATGCTTTAAGGTTCACAGCTCTCTTCAAATTTGTGAATCTGTTCCTCATTCTGATGAGTGTAGATCTCCTTAGCTGATGCTTAAGAAGAAAAAGAAAAAAGAGAATCTTGACTTAAATATAGGGTTCAGACAGATTTATAGGAAGTGATTTCACTTCATCGTCAAGATTATCACAGTCTGCAGGTATGTCAAATATTTCTGTTTGGGTTATCTTACTTTCTCCTACCTCTTTTTAAAATTGATTAATTAATTGCCCTTTCTCCCACCTCATTAACACTGATAAGGTAAATGAAATTCAGCTGCTTAAATACTCAAGGGTGTCTTATACATGCCTGGTTTTCAAATAAATCTGCAGATAAAAAATGCATGCGTGTATGTGTCAGTCTGTTTTACAGGAAAAATCTGAAGTTAAGAGTTTTATAATATTCAAAGTCATTTTATGTGAAATATTTGTCTCTGCAAGATTCTTGAAAAAAGAGTCCTAGTTGGTTTGGGGGCTTAACTATATCTCTTAAAATATCTTTTAATCCCAGTCAAAGGTGGTGGTGGCCAGCAGCAGCATGAACACGTTCTCTTCTGATATCTAGACTTCTACTGAATGGTCATATCAGAAATAGTGTGCAAAATTAACTCTACTCATTTTAATTCTTTTGAATTTAGGGCTATAATTAAAAGCACTTTTCTTATTACCAAACAGCCATCTCAGAGCTTCAGGGTACTCTGCATCTCTCACAAATCAATGTTAAGTTTTACTTCTAAGAAGAATGGGGTCATCAGATATTAAGTGTATTATCTTATTTATTTCAGTGGGTTTTACTTAGAAATAAAAAATGCTTCAGACTTGTCTCTGAAGCAAAAGCCATCTCCATTATGTTGATTTCCTACATTCACTCTTTCTATTAAAGCGTTAACATGAAGTATGAAGACACCCTGCTGTTCTTGTCTGTACACATATGTATATAAGAATGCATGCTTGGCCTAAGTGATGAATGTCTATATTCTGTTGTAATAAAATTATTATTGTGATGAAAATGACATTGTTCTTAAAAAAATGTGTCCTATTGAAAATAGATTGGGTCACTAAGGATTCATAGTTCACATCAAATATTCACCAGTCATGTATTCTTAATTGATATTGGTGCACATTTTGGGTTCTTTTAACAGTGCAACAATAGCAAAGGCTGTTATGGTAAGCACTGTTGGGATCACTTATATATTTGTTAGAAATCAGTTAACAATGATGTTTTGGTTCAGCTTGGGAGTTAGCATTATTTTTACTGTCATCATAATTTGTTTTGTTCTTTATTCATTTTCTATGAACAGGCAACATTTAATATAATCTGTGAATGAAATAAAATAACTCCTGTTTTGACTAAGTGAGTAATATATGAGTAATAGATGTGTGATTGTTTGTTTTTGTAGCCATTACAGTTCAATACATTCAAATACTTTTTCTTTTTTTCCTTCCTTCCTTCCTTCCTTCCTTCCTGGCACTAATTGTCCTTTTTTAACTTGGTATGTTGACTGCCAAACACAATTCTAGTACAGTGGAATGATGGTTCCTTTCATTTTCAGGGAAGTGGGGAGCTGATTTCTCTGTATTTGGCACATTGAATGAATTAATGAATATTATTATTAAATAAGAACTTGTGAGATGGGTTCTTTGAGTACCTTGCTACTGGGCTGACAAAGCCATTGCACATGGGGCTTCTGTTGGCAGTTCTGAACAATGCCATACTTCTCTTGATAGGGTCATATTTTAAATAGTAGTAATAATAATAATAACAATAGTTGTTAGAATTGTAGATACAGTTTACAGTGTTATTAGCTATTACTAACATGGTTTTATATGTGTTTTGTCAAGACATAAATAAATATTTTATGAAGCTATAAATTGCTATAATGTAATCTGAGAAAAATAAACAGGTGTATTCATGATTATAGATGTTCACATTATTCCAATTTCTCTACCCATTTCACTTCCCTGATGGCACTCTACATTCAAATTACTTAATAAAACAAATTTTTGCCTTGCTTATGTAAAGTGACTGTTATTTGAGGACTCTCAAGGAAGTGTTTGTATTGATTGCAAATGTGTTTCCCTTGTTGTCCTACACTCTAGCTCATAAGCTGATGAAGAAGCCTGAAGTGAAGACCTGGGATTTGTGAACAATGCATGTATATTTTATACAAAAGCTTTGGAACTAGAATATAGCTATTACCAAGTTCATCCTAACTTGCATGCATGTTTTTAATGCTATTTATATGATACTAGAAGGTATCTGGATGTAATTTGTTATATTCAATTACCTGGATATCATTAAATGTCTGTAACCCTTTGTAACCAAAGCTTATTTACAAGAAAGCGTTAGAGGATAATAAAGCTGTACTTCATGGAAAGAATTTGATCTAAACCAAGGCTCAAGCATATTTACAACTTTCCCTAATGTGGATTGGATTTTGCTCATAAGTACAACTACCTCAGATCTGAGCTGCAGCAACCAGGAATACAGAAACGTTACTTTTTGCTCCCATCAAATGGTGGCCCATATCGTTGCAGCCCAGATCCGGTATCCCTGCTCCTATATGTCCTGATCTCTGCTGCATGCTGATTGAACCAGATTTAGGTAAATTAAATATGAGGAGGGTTTCTCACCATTTCTTTTATATTGTCATTTTGTGGGCTATATTAGTATGTCTATCAGTGGAATGAACATTGCTGATAAAATAATTTCACATTCCTTCTGGTACCTTTATAAACTTCCTGATTGGGTCTGACAGTTGGGATCCTTCTAGGGCATATTTGGAAATGCACGGAGCTTAAAAATTAACAGACTAAATAAATGTATTGATATTCAATTGTTATTATATATTCATTTCTTAACATACAAATGTGAGTGAAATACTGTTCTGGATAAGGAACTATATGTTTATACCAACACTCAGAATGGGTGTTATCGTACTGATGCAGAAGTCTGAAAGTACTCCAGGTATAATGTTAATATGTATCTAATAGCTTAAACTAGCTCATTTTTAAATATGACATTAGGTATCAAATGGTATATATGTATGTTTCTGAAAAATGTCTCTTCTTTTGTCTCCCTTTTTGACATTAACTTAAGTGCCTATATTTTTCTAATCTGTCTCTTAATTGGTTAGCAATCTGAACCAAAAATTACACAAAGCCTTTTCCATTGCAATCCTATACTTGTCTACTCAGTGCTGAAGTATGTTGGGGTTCTGTTCTGGGTAAATATTATAACATTAGGAAAGGAAATGGTCTCCATTTGTTTTGTTGGTGGAGAACAACATGATTCAGGTAAAGTTAAGGATTCAGGGCCCTTTTCATTATAATGCAGGAGATTTGAACCCATGTTTTGTTGCTGTAATTTTTAATGCTTAAGTTTAGGTGAATTATGTTGTTCTTCCTTCAACTGCTTCATTTGTTCAACTGGTTATACAACAGCTATAAAGAACTGCTCTCTGCCTGTCAGTCTAAAGAGCAGGAACTATGTGGGGCTGCAAAACCAACAGCAGTGCTCGAGAATCAGCAACATCACGACCATCCCCTTGGGCCTGAAGATGGGGATGTGGAGCAATGTTTTAAGACCTGTTTTCCAGTGTGCTCTTATGCTTTCCGTTGATTGCTACAGGGGATGAGTTTCTTTAAAGACTGCTGCCCGATAAATCTCTCCTCTTTGATTTCTTAGTTGTATCAGCCTGTTATGATTCTTCCAGAAACGGGCATGGGGTCGTCTTGAATAAAACGAAGATGATCTCTGCAGAAACAGTCATGAAATGCTCAGGATGTAAGAAATGGGTGTCCTTGCTGAGAGGTTAGGACACACCGTATTCTTACTAGCAAGCGTTTGTTATAAAGAGCCAGCACAGCCAGATCTTAGCAGTGGAATGCTACTTTGAAAAGCCAGTAGTGTGATCCCCGATCTTTTTTGCTTCTCAGCTAAACCAACAGAGAGAGAAAACAGAAACCCAGCGTTTGGCAGATGACATCTGCATGTGGGTGTGGGTGCGTATGCGCGTACTTATGAAAGGGCCCTGTAAGAACCTACATTTGATTCTCCACCCATATATTTAAATGATTTATGATATAATTCCTACTGAGGATTTACTAATATGGACAATATTTAGATTTGCTTACACTTAAGAGATAGCTGTATGATATGTACGCTATATAAGTCGTCAAATGTGTAATCAATTTTTTTAATGTTAAGTCAGTATAATCTATTTTAAGGTAATTACAATTATGCTATGGAGTTAGTAAAATAACTGAATCTCAGTAAAACTGAAACTAAACACAAATGTGTCACAATTAGTAAATTAAGTTAACAGATGGAACTTACCTTTTCATGGTTTGTTACTTAGATTGCTGTGTTATCTGGTGCGCGGATTGTCAGAAAAATGAGTGTACATTCTTCAAAGATACATCTTCATAAAAAAAATGTTTAGGATATTATCTCAACAATGAGATACTTAAGGGAAGAAACACTAAAAAAAAG